AGCCAGGGATGGGTGGAAGGAGAAAGAGAATTCCATTACTAATGAAAGAAACTGATTTTTAAGTATGTACCCTTATCTTCCATGAAACATTACCATGGTAACAGCACCAGTTAAGATGATTGTATATTTAGGTCATAGTATAAAAGGAGCTTAAACATGTGAAAAAAGAAAGAAGAAAATGAAATAAAGTAAGACAAGAATATATAAAGAGTAGAAGAAGGCAAACCAAATGGAACCTACCTTATCCTTTGCTAATAGCAGTTCACAAAGCCACATTATGCCTTTCTAAGCAGCAGTGGACAATAAATTCTAGATAAAATTAGTCGAAATAAATGAAATTCAGAGCCTTGAAAGCCAAAAAATTTCAGTAAAGAAACAGGAAGTCATTCAGCATGGCAAAGTGAAGAGACAACTAGATTGGGAGTTGGCATATGTGTTCCCATACTCTTCTTGCTTAGCTGAATTCCCTTGGGAAAGTCTATTTATTTATCCATTTTAATACTTATCATGAATTCAACTGGATGATACCAAAATTCCATTTCATGCTTTTGCCTTTTATCTTAGAAGTGGACAAAGCAGCTGCCATTAGGTAATCTTTGTGCTTTTATTTTCCTCCATCAGAGACAATTACTGACTAAATAGAACATTCTTTGCTTAAAGTTTAGAGTATTCAACAAGAACCTGCAAAGTTAAGTTGAACAGATGGGGAGAACATCACTGAACTCAGACTAACATGGTTTGCTTTCCCTAAACACAGGAAAAACAAGTGATAAACTATGTTTACAGAGCCAGCCATCACAGTATAAGAGCAAACACTGCAGTCCGGCAAGCTCGTATTTGCATCCAGAAGTTGCAACTTATCAGCTGTGTGATTGATATTGGGCCTCTAACTGGAGATTTCCCTTTCTGTGAAATCAGGACAATAACATCTACTTCGTAGGATTGTTGCAATGATTAAATGAGAAAATAGATTCATCTACTTATTGATTCAACAAAAATTTGATAAATTCCTCACATGTGCCTGGCACTATCTTCAATTGTGAGGCTAAATTACTAACGAAACAGATAATATATATAAGCTGCTTAGGACAGTACCTGACATTTAGGACATACTCTGAAAAATGCAGTTCTAAGGGAAGATGGTTTGCTTCCCTTGCCCCACATGATAGACACACATCAACACCACAAGACCCAGTTGAGCTCAGAATATACAATCTGTAATGGATGCTCCAGTAGACCAAACATCTGCTTGATGAACCAAAGGGAAACAGAGTCAAGACAAATGATAGGGAATGATAGTCAGTTGTTAATAGCCAAAAGGACAATATTAACAATATTTGACACATGCAATCCACAGAGGAAAACGCACAGACAGCAAACATCATAAAATGATGAATCAACTAAAATGTAACTTTCAATGAAAGAAATCAGTCCTTTAAAGTAAATATAAGGCAAAATGTTTGTCAGTCTCCTATTGAGACAAAGGAAGAATTTTTGAAGTAAGATTAAGAATGGGCTCCAGGTACTCAGGGTAAAACAATTACTAACTGGCATTTCTCTCACACAAAAACCTAAACAAAGGCCAACATCAGTGGTGAAAGTTGAACCCAAAACTATTAAGGGTACAGCCACAGATTCTTGCCCTTGGTTTTTATCCCCCATTCTCTCTTCATTTCCCTTCCATTCTATTCTTGTTTCTCCCCCTTTTCCTCTTTTACACTTGCTTTAACTTTATTCATTGCTGTGGGTCAGAGAGACTATGGCTTCTAATTAGCCAGCTTCTTCTCCACTGATGACAGTATCATTCATGCTTTCACTTCCTTTCCCTGCCAGCCAGAAGGCTGATGACTGTGCTGTTCTCTTGCTACCTCTGAGCTGTCCATCCCTCTTATGCCCCTGGCCGTGGGGGCTAGCTGCTTTGGATTGGAATTGGGGAATTACCCAATGAACATCCATTTAGCTGCCTGACTGTGGGATTACCTGGACAAAGAAGGGGATAGGGTCACATTTAGAGCAATGTGTTTTGTTTTTAATATGAAGATAGCATTCTCTGCACCTCAAAATTGAGAGTCATGGGAACTCACTCCAAAAGGACTTTTACCTGTGTTTGAACGGTTAGTCCTTCCTCATCTGTCTCTGCAGTCAGTTGAGAGCTGCAAACATGTTCTTTGGGTTCTCTTGCATTTGAACTATGATAGGTATATTCAAATCCACCAATTTTCTCACTCCAATTTGCCTCCAGGCACCCACAGACACACTTATATAAACAAACATTGTGTCTTCCTTTTATAAGAAGGCAAAGCATCTGTCAGACAGCCTACTTTGAATTTGGGGTCCTAAAACTATTCCCGATCTACACCGCACCTCATTCATAGAGCTGTCAAACAATAAACTGAGGGCCATCTTTTCCAAGCCTTTGTAAAATCCAGGTTTTAGTTTCAAGTTTTAAATGGCATTATCATTTAGCTCAGCAAAGCAATGGAGAGTTACTTAGCTATCATATTGCCACAACTGAGATACATTACTACTAATAATAACAATAAAAACTCATCTGACATTAACATTGCTTCTTGAGTCTTTAGCTGCCCAGCCCGCAAAGCTGCACCATCACTGGCACAAAACTCTTCCTTCATTTGACCAGAGTTTCAAAGGTCCAGTTTCTCAATTGCAGCCTAATAGTTTCCAGCTTGCAATTGTTTCTCGGCCAAATCAACTGATTTTATTTCTACAATCATTAGTGCCTTTTCTATTAGCCCCCAAGATAACACACATATGCCTAATTGTGAGTAGTTTCTATTTAAGTATATCATCAGACCTATTTTTGCTTAGCAGTGAAAATGCTCATACATCCTACCGTATGTTTATCAAGTAATTTATATATACATACAGATGGTAAGCAAAATACAATGAGAAGGTCTTTGCTGCACAATTCAGAGTTCCTTAATTTGGAGTTTATGAGCTGATTCATTTTCAAACTCCTCTCAATTTGACATACCACCATTGTGGGGAGTGAAAGGAGGTGCTGGCCCACTGCAGCCCTGGGCCATCCCCAAGCAGGCTAGAAAAAGGCTGCAGCCTGCGGGTGGGCTCCAGAAGGGACACCAGTGGTGGGGCAGGACAGGGATAGTAGCCAGAGGCACTGCAGCCTCAGGAGCCTTCTGTGTTTCACACAGCAAAAGCACTGGGTCCATTTTCCCAGAATCTCCCCCACCACATCCCCAATCCACAGGCCTTTCTGGTTACCCAGAATTTCTCTTTGGAGTATAGACTAACTCTCCTTTTTTCTTTGCCTGGTCAAGGCCACTGAGGTATCCTCGGCCCAGGCTGCAGAAGCCCAGGATTGTCAAGTAGTGGCTGTGGCCCCAAGCGCTGGCCGGTGTGTGGCAGAGCATGGGGAAGTGTATTTTATCTCTAGCTGTGTATTAAGGGACTGAACGCTGCAATGCTGACAGGTACCCACTGCCACTCAGAGGTAAGAAAAGAGCAGGCAAAGCAAAACAAACAAAACAGTAAGAAGAAAAGAGCAAAGAGAAATAGAAAGTAACTGTGGAGGAATTCCGGAGCCTGAGAACTGGGGGGTGCCGTTTACTTGCAGGGCTTGGGGCATCCATCTTGGCAGGCTGACTTGGACCCCTGGGTGGCTGCAGTCACTGATATGCCATGGCAGTGAGCTGACATAAGGACACAAGAGGGCGGCTTGGGTGAGATGTCAGAGAGCAGTTTTACTTGCCTTAAGAGTTCACTTCGTTTTCTCTGCTCTCCTCCCTCCTCTCTGCACCAAGTGACTCTCCCACGGGTATTTCCATACACGCAAAAGCCTTGGTTTCACTGCCAGAGACTGGCGAGTCAGTGGATCCTCCCTTGGAGGATTTTGCGGCTCAGAGCAGCCTGGAGCACCGCTACTGACAGGAAGTAGAGATGCGGGTGCTGGAGAAGGATGGAGGCAGAGGGAGTGTGTCCTACTTTGTGTCAACAATTTGGGTGAATTTTCACTACTGGCGCGCTCTGCTAGGGAAGTCTCCACCTACTCCGCTGGGGGCACCCCAGAGGCGCGGGGTAGAGTGCACAGGTGGAATTTCTGCCATCAGGCTAGGACCGCACCTTGCGGGTTTCCCCATCTACAAGTTAGCAGCGATTGCCCGAGGTCCGCAAGTGCAGACCGTGAAGGACATCTGGGGCGCAGCGGTCCCCTATTTACGTCGCCCTAGCCTGCTGGGATGGTCTAGAACCCACCGTGAGTTGGGTGGCGAAGCCCAGGCACTGTCTGGGACCTCAAGGGTTCCAGGCTAGGACCCAGTGCCCCAGCAGTGGCTGACAGTCGATCTCTTCGTGCGCCAAGCAGAAAAAGGATGGGGTTGCTGAAGGCTTTTCTCTCTTTTGTCCTGGAAACCTTTCCCCATTCTTATTCCCCACTGCTCCTTGGCGGTGGTCCGCCGACCGCGACACCAAACCTCTCTCCTCCAGCGCCCTAAATGGCTGCTCCAAAGGTGGAGAAGTCAAGGGACAGTGTGGAGCTGGGAACAGCAGGGCCCCTACCTCAAAAGCACACAGGACGTGGTCAGACCCTGGGCAAAAAGGAGTTTGAGGGGAGGGAGAAGCAAAGCTGCCCTTGTCTTTTCCATGATGGCATCTGGAGTTGGGGGGTGGGAGTGACCGAGAGGTGGGTCTCTGACAGTGGAGGGATGTCACGCTAAAAGAGGGAGCGATGCTAGGTAGCGAGGCTCCCAGACTCTTTTCACCACATTCCTTTGGACTCCCTGACAGTGGTAACAGCGCCCCAGCCTTGAGCTGTGCCTCATTTTCCCCTTCTTTCCCGACCCACCATCGCTCTCCTCCTTCCAAGCCGCGCGAGTGAAAGTTTCCACTGGAAAATCTGCACGTGTGAGGGACCACCCTCTAATTGCCCAAACCCGACCTCTCGACACCCATTGGGAAGAACCACACCTTACCAGGGCCCCTGGCGTGGGCAAGGGGAGAATTGGGCAGTGTGGTCCCCTTACCTGCCTCTGATTTAGCTTCACTTGCCACTCCTGGCTGCGATTTGGTGGAGACTGGCAGGACCAGGAGCCCTTCGCTCGCGGGTTCCGGTTCGACTGGCCCGGGTGCCAGCTGCGCACCGCTTAGAGTCCAAAGCCAGCCGCCGGCTCGCTTTCTCCCTTGATCTTGCAAGAGAAAAGGAAAAGATTAGTTGGCGCCGCGGCACCCGAGGGGTGGGGCGGGGAGGGCGGGGAGACAGTCGACCAAAGGCTCTGAGGAGATACCCGGCTCTCGCGCGTACAGAGTCGTGCACTCTACACAGGTCCCGGCCACTTGACCAGTCTGGGACCGGCTTGCGGATTAGACTGGAGTTAAATTAAAGCTACCCCCGCCCTGCACATCACACCGTCAAAGAAGAAGCAAATAAGACTTTCAAACCTGGTTTTCAGGAAGATGAGTCTGGAGACCAAAATAGAACCGAGATCTGGATGTACAGGCGACCTGGGCGGGATTCATTTCTTCACCAAAGTGCCTGGGGAAGTAGTAATTAGTGTAGGGTGGAGTGGAGGAACAGCACTTATTCCAACGCTCTGGAGATTTCGTCTTGGAATCTGCGACTTCAAGGGTCTGGTCAACCCGCAGGCTGGCGTGTGTGTGTGCGTGTGTGTGTGTCCGTCCGTCCGTGTGCACACTTGGAGCAGGGTCTCCGTGCCAGGCGCGCCTTGGGTATAGCAGGAGAGCGTGTCTGTATTCGTGCGTTTGTGTTCGATTAGCTGCAATGGGGGAACAATTTCTGGAGAGAACATTTACAATTTTCTTTCAGTATGACAGGATTAGTTGCTGTTGAAGGAGCTCCTCCAATGAAATCTTCTCTGCTTTCTGATTTGGCGGTTCTTCTGAGCAAATATGACAGCCTTTTCTCCAGGCTCTTTTCTGCTTTCCCAGAGCCCAGCTCTCCACCTGCAATTTCTACATAAAATCTTTGCAATCACCAGCACCACCCCACCAAGCCCCATTCCTGCAAGTGTAGGATTGCTACAAAGGTGACATGGCATATTGGAAAGAATGCAGTGTTGCTTGTTGTTTGCAGAAGATACTTAAGCCCAGTTTTTCCAGGTGGGAAAATATTAGAATAAATGCACTGTATTTTGTACTAATTATATAATCATGCTGAGCTATTCAGATTGTTCCTTTGGGACATTGGCAGATGTGTTAGAAGGAGAGGGTTTTTTGTTTTATTTATTTATATTTTTCTTTTCTTATTGTACACAGGGGTCAATGACCATGTTTTGCTCAAGTAGTGGGAAGTAGATTACAAAATATCTATGGCGTTTTGAGGAATTTGTGATGCCCAGGGAAAAAATAAGATGCAAACTTTTGTATCTCAACCATCCTTGGGGTTTTATTTCTTTACTTTAATAAGAAATTCTTTCCAAAAATTGTGCTCAATGTGTTTTGGGTACCATTGTACCATTTGACAAAGGTACAATGTAGGATAGTTCTTAAAGCATGGACAAGGAGAAGACTTGCTTTTTTGAAAGTTCATGCTTATATGAAGATAGTATCAACATACTACATATTCTATAGGTTGCATTTTCTTACATCCAACTTGAATTAAATAAAAAATCGTTGACACCTTAAACTGAACAACACAGAATGTGACACGTTACCTTTTAGCTCACAGAGACAAATTGCTAGTTAAGGACACATTGATTTAATATATCCAATTAAATTCAGTTCAATTCTTGATGCCCAGGTCTTGGCTGGATGTTAAAGGGCATGCAGAATAACTAAAGACACTCTTCATGCTTTGGAGACATTTCTGATTTTTATTGGTGAGAAAAGACACCCATATGAAACACTTATAGAGCAGCTGACAATCAAGATGATGCATTGTACGGCAACATTGATAAATGGAAATCCAATAGCTGAAAGTTTCTGCCCTTTCTGTTAAGTCACAGATATCACCAAAAGGACCTAACACAAACTTGACATTGCTAGATTAAATAAAGCATTGCAATCCTATCTCTCTAATTTCAAGGATCTTCTTGAAAAGTAATGATGGTTCTGTTCATACTTATTTTCAGTTTCTATTGAGTCCTTGGTAGTAAATAGCCTATCTTGTCCTTTTTGTCTCCCTTAAGTGCTCTTTTGAAAATAAATTCATAATTTCATTCATTTTTCTTTATTTATATCTGCTAAGCCCCCCAAAGTCCATAATACCTTGATGTGCCTGAATCTTGTTTGAAAACACATACACACACGTCAAAGGCAAAGAAAAATGAAGAGGAATTGATTCCTGACCAGCAATAAAGAAGAAAACCCAATGACTTGTTGCCATTTTTTTCACATCACTAATTCCCTCTTACTGACAGTGCCTACTACTTCCCCTTCTCCCCCACAAAAGCCAATGAAGGCTAGTAAATATTTTCCTAAACTGTTATAAAACTCATTCTATGAGTAACTGAAATACTATGTCCAACAGAAGTCACTCCCCTTAAGGTCTTTATGGAGGGGCTGCAAACTGAAACCATAAACAATCATCTCTGATGTTCATTTTCTTCTCCTAGGATGTCACTGAAAATGCTTTTGTATATGTGTGTGTGTATGTGTATTTTTGCTTCTCTCTGTGTGACTTGGAGAAATTATTTAGGTGCCCTGTATCCTAGTTCCTTTACCTATAAAATGTGTACAGTAATGTCTGTTGGGGTTGTTATAAGTAATAGTAATTCCTGTAAAGTTCTTGGAAGAGTGCCTGGCATTTAAAAAAATTAACTGTAATTGCAAGACATCAATCAAAATTTAAAAATACAGGTGCCTTAGCACTCTCAGTGACATACAGAAACAAAGTACTTAGTAGGAATTCTTGCCATTGGAGCCGTGCTGCTCACCAACATCATACGATAAGCATGTTAAACATAACCCATTGTAACACTGACCCCAAGGAACCTCATTCTTTTTCCTTTCTAGTTTCTTTCTATATAAGAAATGATCGTGTGTTTTCTGAGCATTTTACTTTCATCACTTAAGCAAGTTCACTTTCTAAGATAAAAAGAGTACTCTTTCGCTTTAGGAATATGGTGTTTGCATTTATTACTAACTCTTGGGGTGGAACATTTTCAAAAGTGCTTTTAAAAGACTTTGTAGAATGCATCTATGCATTTTCCTTTATCTACAGACCTATTTTCCACCTCAAAGAACTCTAATAAATTAGTAATTTCCACTTGTGAAGCCAAACTTCATTACCTACCCCTTCATGACGCTAGATTTGGGCAAGCATGGAAGAATGCTGATGCCTGTAAGGGATGACTTTGAATCTTTGACAAAGTTTGCATTAGAATAAGACTGTAAATAAGGTCACCACTAACAGGAGAAGGAGATGGATGGCTCTCATTCCTGGGAAGGTGGCGCATATTTTATTCTGCCACTTTGATTTCCGTGCAGCAATAATTAGGCTTCAGTAATTAGATGCACAAATCAGTGCTCTATCATCTTAAGTGGATTAAAAGGGTGACAAGTTCAACTCCAGTGATTTCTCACCAGGTACTGTGGCCATAGGCTGTTTTTTTTCCCCCATTTTCAAAAATGAGAAAATGAATTTGAAGGCTTCACCCACATGGGGAAAATGTGCCCTAAGTGGGAGATCTTGACTTCTCCTTTTTCTCCCACTCACACAAACTGTCCCAGAGTTGGATTAGGGAAGCACAGAGTTTACCAGTAGGAGGTTTGGAAAACACAAATGGATTTATCTGATGTCTGCCAAAGAAAACTTTCTTATCCTTGACCTCAGTTTGAAATATAACTTTTTGGGTGAAATGTGAATCTCTACTAGACGACAATCACTGCTTGAAATGGGTTCTTCAGTATCCCCATTTTAAATTCTTAATAACGGCCCCATAATAGACATGCCATTCTTCTTAGAGTTACTTATTTTCCCTGCAAACCTTCCCGGGAAGTTCTTTAAAGCTTCTGCTCTTTAGCTAGAAAAGATGATCTGTTTTTCTCCCAGAAAATCTTAAGCTTTTCTTTTTCATTCCCTGCAACAGAAGTTTTCATATACAAATGGGACTGATTCTAAGTGACAATGTTTAGTGACAGTCTGACAAACAATGGCTTGCTATTTTTTCTTTGCCTTTTTCTTGAAGTTTGGCATCACAGATGTTTTAAACTCTTCCTGTGTTAGCAGTGGTAGTGTAATCCAAAGCCTGAAAACATTTACTGCGGCTGAGTCTAAAATATTTAAAATACAGAGCTCTTTTTCAAACAGGGAATATTAAGAAGGGAGAAAAATGTTAGGGAAAGAAGGGGTACCACTCTGCAAAATGTTAAACATCCATAATGGTGATAAATCAGTGTTAAGTACACAGAAAGAAAAGGCCATATGGATGCACATTTGCTTAGAGAAGCATTTGGTATATGTGAGTTTCTCCTACCAAGGAAAGCTCAGGGCTCTTTCAGAGGTAAACCCCATGACAGGGTGAATGGAAAAGCTCCAACAACATCCATCTGCAGGTGTATTTTGGAAAAAAAAAGTTTAAATTTCCCCTTTCCACGATCTAGGTAGACGCTGGAATCTCAGATGGAGACAAGATTCTAACAAGTTCAAAGTGACAGTCTGCTCTTGTATATGTTTGAGGACCAGATTATTGATTGAACAACTCTTTGTACAGAAAAAGAGTCATCCAGGAATACTTACCATTGTCTTAGTCTGCTGGGATCCTGCTTGTCTGAGAATTTAGAGAATTCATTCCTGGGAATTCACATAATTTCTCAGATCATATAACATACTTGTTTCTTAAGCTAGCTAAAATGACCTTTCAAGAGAAAGCTGGAAATACACACCCAGGCCAAAGAAACATATTCTGGTGTGTGTGTATGGGGCAAGGGGAAATCTCAGCATAGAAGAGCTCCATTAATAAATTTGATCTCCACCCTGTCTCGTCAGAGTGACTGTGATACTTGTGATGCAGAAAGGAACATTTTACCCTGCAAGACTTAACTGAATGTGACTGGCAATATCACTTCATACAGGACATTTCACTTTAAAAACAGTCTTTCTTCTCATAGTGTGCCTAAGAAAGTATTCTCTAAAGCATGCCCTGATTTATTGTACCTAATAAGATGCACCCTGGACATTTTGTCCTTTCTTTCTCATTTAATCAGCAAGGTGACTGAGTATTGGGTTTAAAGACCTCATTCCCAACATCTCAAGGGCGCTGTTCTATAAAACCCCACAGAAGGGAACGAGGCAACAACACCCTCGGCACAGTGGATCTATGTGCTCTTTCCTACAAAGCTTTAATTGACAAATATTTCCCTAGAAACTGAGTTAATTTGAAAAGGATGCCAAAATAAGCATATATTGGTAATCACTGATGACTTCGATAACAGTCATTCTGTACCTACCCTTGGAACATCAGTTGATACAATGTACTTTTCTTTTATCAATACCAGGTTGTGGATAGACAGTTTCTCTCACCTGATGGTAACCCCTGGAAATAGATTTTTCTTGAGCAGTTCTCTTGTAAACAAGCTGCCATTGCTTTGCTTTCCTTCAGCAGTGTTGTGAACTGCAGGGGGCAGTTCTGAAAACACCAAGTTGAACCTCTGAGAAGGAGTATGTCACAGAAGTCTACCATAGACTGGACTTGAAGCACTGGGATTGGTTCAACAAGTATTTATGTATCAATGAATATTATTTTAGATATCAGGACTTCAAAACAGTAAGGAAGAATTCCTGCCTTCTAAAAGTTAAAGATCCAACTGCAGAGCAAA